GCCCGTGCCGGCCCGGACCTTCCTGAGGTTCTTGGGGTTCAGGCTGACTGTCTCGGCAGCGGAGAAGCCCAGCGACAGCCGCACCTCGAACCGCCCCTTCTCTGGGATCGGCCTCGTGACGGACCCCGAGCGGCCGTTCAGTGGCCGCCCGGTCTCCGAGGTGAGGCCGAAGACCTCGATGGCGTCGCCGACCCGCAACTCCTGCGCCTTGGCGCGTGCCTCCCTGGCCGCCGCCGCGCCGGCCTCCAGCCTCCGCCGCCAGCACCGCACCGCCGCATCCCGCGGCGCGGTCCCCAGGTCACCCAGCGGCAGCAGCGCCTGGGTCACCCGCAGCAGGTCCGCCGGGGGCGGCTCGGACCCCTCCGCGGCCACCCGCGCCACCGCGGCCTCCAGGAGCCCCGCGCACTCGGGCCCGGAGCCAGCCGCGCACACCGCCACGTCCGCGGCCAGCGGCAGGGGCACGTCCCGCAGCCTGGCCGCCAGGGGCAGCGCGACGGCCTGCAGCCGGGCGCCTGCCGCGCCCGCCGCCCCGGCGCCGCGCCGACCGGCGGCCGCCAGGGCCAGGCGCGCCAGCAACGGGCCGGGCAGCGTTTCCAGGGCGCTGGGCTCCAGCACGGCCCCCCAGCACTTGTCGAGGTCGTCGCCGGCGGCGCCATGCTCGGCGAGACCGGCGATGACGGGCGCGGAGGCGGTCCAGGGAACCTTCCCGAGCAGCATCTCCAGCACCATGGGCGCCCCCTCGAGCCCGAAGCCCCCGGAGACCATCGCGTCCAGCGCGTCGATGGCCACGGCGGGTTCGGCCGCGAACACCTTCATGATGGCCGCCGTGGCCAGGCAGTCGCACAGCTTTCGCGCCCGAGCCCCGGCGAATTCGCGGAGGAGGGGCACCAGCCTGGCGATCGGCTCACTGGAGATCACCTGCCGTGCTTTCTCGAGCGCGACCTGCGCGCACCTCTCCCAGTCCAGCGGCATGGCCACCAGGGCTCCGAGGATGGGTATGTCGAAGCTGACCTGCTCCTCCACCACCTGCTCAGACGCGCACTTCACCACGGCCTCCAGCGCCTCCGCCCGGAGCTGGGCCGCTTCTGGGTCAGCCTGGCTGCCGTCAGTGCCTGACGACAGCGCCCGCCATGCATCGCACAGGCCACCCAGCGACACGTGCTCGTCACCTTGGAAGCGCGCGCAAGGGGGCAGTGCGAGGGGCAGTGGGCTCCTCGGAAGGGGTTGGCCCCTCCTCAGAGCCCTTTTTACAAGGCTTCTTAGAGCGCAGGACGGCTTCTAACAAGGCCGTGTGCCTTCTTTCCGGAAGGGCGCTTAGGCACAGTCCGCTCCAGACTGGTCCCTCCGCCCCACCCAGGGCCCATCCTGGCCCGTTCGTTCAAATTCCAAGCCGTGCCCAGACGCAGCGGCAACACACATTTGCCTGAACTTCCGTATGACTGCTCACAGCCCCAGCCCCCCCCCGCCGTGCCGAGCACCGGACATCGCACAAGCCGTGCTCAGCCGTGGCGACGAGACCCCCCCCTCCCCATGAAAGGGCAATCAACACCCGTGAGCGCGAGGCCCCACTGCCCTCTTCCGCGCGCTGCCGGTCGCCGGCGCGGCACATGCTGCACACCACGCGGAGCAGCTTGGCCTCCGCCTCGCTGCTGCAAGGGGGCCTCAAGTCGAAAGCCCAACCTTGCTGATTGCTTGCGTGAGCCATCAAGAAACCCAGCCAGCTGCAGCAGAGTCAGTACACTGAATATGTCCCAGGCGAGCCCCAAGAGGGGCCCATGGTACCCATACGGCCCTCGAGACACCCCGATGCGAACAGCCAGACATCCTCATCCACTTGCCCACTCCTGCAGCCCAGATGCCCTGACCCTGGCCGAGACCTGCCAGCCAGATACCCTGACCCAAACCTGCCAGCCAAATATCCTCCCCGCTTGGGACAGACCTGCCAGGTAGATACCATCAAACCCCGGCTCAACCTGCAAGCCAGATGCCCTCACCCCCCGCGTGTAAAACTGCCATCCAACCGCCGATTCAGCAAGTCAGTTGCCGGTCACGTAGCAGCTCAAATAGCGAAAAGTGGATTCGGACTGCTACTGCGAACAAGTATGAGAAAAACAAAGTTACAACAACCAGGAGGGGAAAATCGACCCACACTGTTGAACACCCTCCCTACCATTGCACACCAAACCGGCTGCCGCACTACCGCGGCACGGCTTGAAGGCGAAAGCGAGGATCGAAAGTATTTCCTCTGAACCGAAAAGACTTCCCCGCCAGAACCCCCCTCCTGGCGGAGGCCGAACGGGGCGGGACTAGCTTGGGGCAAACCATGACATTACATCGGCGAGATGTCGCCAATGGATCGGCGATAGGCCCTCGATGTGGAAACCCAGCGCTCGATGGGCAGGCTGAGGCATCCAAGTCCCCGATGATTGGCGAGAAATGCGAGGAATGGGCGATCGGCGATCGGGGGGCCGATGGGTCCCCCCCTGAGCCAGTCCCCCCCCCCCTGTCAACGACTTCACCTCAGGAGGAATGCCAGTTGAAACAAAAGCGGCTCCTCCTCCTTCCAACTCAAAACTGTTCAAAATCTGTCCCCGGACCCCCCCGGACCCCCCCAGGGGTTCATCCCAATTCGTTTTCGAAGGCGGATCCAGCCGTGGCGGCGAGAAGCCTCCAGGAGTCGGGGAGGGCCACCGTGTCTCGACTGGCCCTGATCCAACGCTTCTCTCGGTTGGCATGGAACACAAGGCTTCTGAGGGAAACGGGTCCTGGAACCCAGGGCCGTTCCATATGACCAACTCTTCTTCCTGAACTGGTTCTGGACCGTCCTGGGGCCAGGGAGGGCCTGAGACACCGAAAACTGCGAAAAACATACGGACCCGTCTCATTCACGACTGCTCTTCTTCATGGCGAACCCTCCTCTTCGACGTCCCCCGATAGGGAACCCGCAAAAGATGTATGCGCCCAGCAGTGTTCACGCATACGGCCCCCCAGTCTGCGAGGCGAGCCTCGTGTTACGAAGGCTCACGCAACGCACTCGCTCGAAACCCACAAAAATTAACGCACACGTGCGATCATTTTTTCGCTCCTGGCCCGAGAGCCCCCTGACCCGAGAGACCCCCTCCCTCGTGGGGCTGCCTCGGCGGCCTTCCTGGAGGGCTCTCTGACGTTCCACAGTCACGTGGAGAGCCCAGGTCGCCCGAAAACGGCCGGCGGAACACCTCCAGACACCCGTCTCCTGCACGACCACGTGCCTTCATGGCGAACCCCTTCTTCGGCGCCCTCCGAGACCCGCCCCCCCCTTCGTCGCGCTGCCTCGGCGGCCTTCCTCAGCGCCTCCGCGCCGGCCGCCGCCTTCGGCGCGCCAGCGCCCTGCCGGAGGAGACGCAAGGCCCGCGCGGCCGCGTCAAGGGGCAGCCAGGCGGGCTGCTGCCTCGCGGCAGACATCAAGCTCGCCACCTGCGCGGAGGCCCTCACCGCTCCTCCTGTCCCTTCTCATCCTTGTCCTGATGCTGATGCTGATGCTCCTCGTCATCCCTGTCCTCCTCCTCCCTGGCTCCTCCTTCCCCCCCTCTTCCTCGCCCTCTTCGTCGCCAGCTTCCTCGCATCATGATCATCATTCGTACCTCCTCCTCCTCCTCCTCCTCCTCCTCCTCCTCCTCCTCCTCCTCCGCATCATGATCAATATCTCTTGTGTTTCCGCCGTTGGGTTCAAGCGGGCGTTAGCCAACGGCGGACTCGGCGCAAAACATCATCTTAGTACACGACGCACCCGCGGCGCAGCCGGCTGGCTCTACCTGGCCCAACGTCCCGCCACGCGGTTTGGTATTTGTTCGGGGGCCTTGAGGTGGAAGGGGTGGGGGGTGGCCGCTCTTTCTCGTCCTCTTCCGCCTCCTCCTCCGCGCCCTCCCATCCATCCCCTCCCCTTCCACACCTTCACCTCTACAGAAACACATGATGAATTTATCACTCTCATCTCTCTCTGCTGATCTTGCGCCAACGTAAACCCGTCTCTTCGGCGATGTGGTTTGACACATCGGGTTCTGCATGCTGTGTTGCAGAGTAGGTATTGAACTCGGAACGTCATCGACCCTTCAAACATGGTGCTCCCGCTGCAGCGATGCCCACATGCGAGATTGCGCTATCGGCCCAGCGCCGGTCATATTTCTGGATCCGACTCATTCCTCGTCGTTGCCATCTCCTCCGTTTCCCTCCTCTGCCAAACCGCGCGTCCGATATTTCACCAAGCAGTCAACCAACAAAATTAAATTCGGTTTTAAATATATCCTCCCCTTCCGTGTTGGCTCGCCCCCGCCCTCTCCGTCTCCTCGTCGTCCTCGTCATCGTCGTTGTCGGCGTTGTCTGGCCTGGCCGCGAAGTCAGAACTCCATCACCTAGCATCGAAGCCAGGTGTGCATGAATTATGCATGTTGCGTCAATTGGAATTTCCCCTGGGGCCCTGCGAGAAGAGCATCAACTGACAATGCTTTACCACTGTATTTCATCACACACCACGCCACCGTGTATCATGCAGATAGTTGACTGCGCAGTTGCCTTGGTTCAAACGAGCCCGATCCCCGTGCTCATGCTCCTGCTCATCCTCCTGCCAGTCCTCTTCCTCCTGCTCATCGTCCTGCTCATCCGCCACCACCACCTCCTCCTCCTCCTCCTCCTCCTCCAGTGTGCAGGAGCGCGAGCGGACCCATCTTGCTGTCCCCTCTCGCCCCTTCAACCGTCCCCCCTCCTCCGCACCCCTCCCCGTTCTCCACCCCCCTCTTCCCCTCCACCCCGCCGCTCCCCCTCCCCCACCCCCTCCCCTCCCCGCCGTCTCTCTCCCTCCGCCACCTCCGCGGCGGCCCGCGCCCTCCTCAGGGACTGGGCCAGCTTCTCCTGTGGCCCGCGGAGGCGCAGCGACTGCGAGGTGGGGTCGTAGTCCCAGATGTCGGAGTGGGCGTGGAAGTGCAGCCTCGTGTGGGCGCCAAGGGATGACGAGGGGGGCGAGGGGAGTTCAGGAGAGAGTGGCGGGAAGGACAGGGCGGAGAAACGCAGGGAGGATGAGAGGGGCAGTGGGAGGACGACAATGCGGAGGAGTCGGAGGAGGAGCAGGAGGCAGTTTAGGAGGATGGCGAAGAAAAGGAAGAGGCGGAGGGATGAGGGGTAAGACAAAGAGGGCGACGAGCAGTACGCGACGGGGGAGGAGGATGGTTGATGGCCCAAAGATGATGATGGACGGTGTGATAAGGTGCTTTTTTCCAGTTCCGATCTGAAACGGCCCATTCTCCATCGTTCACAGCAACGGGGCCGTCATTTCATTCAGTCGCAACGCGCGTAGCGTGTGCTGCAGTCACCTCTGCTCGAACATCTCCGATACGCCGCGAGGTAAGACCGCAAGCTTCCGACTCGTATCACCTTCTAAAAGAAATGCCCCGGCGCCCAGCACCGTGCACCCCAAGCAGAGGAGGGGGAGGGGAAGTGAGGAGGAGTGGGGGGAGGGGGCACCATGCTCGCACGGACTGCATCGGGATAGATCTACAACGTGAGCAGGTGACCCCCCAGGTTGCGATTAGGCGGCGGCAGCATCGGAACATAAGAAAAACCCTTGAGCGAAACGCAGTTCGGGCATCGTGGTCCACTTTGCAGCCACGGCCCCCCTCGCATGCGACGTCGGGCGTCCCGCCCGCGTCGTCGTCGGCGCCTCCCGCTCGGCCCTCGTAGATAGAGGCCGGCGAGGCTGTCCGTGCCGCAGGCGGCGGTGAACCGCCTGCCGATGCGACGCCACTCCTCAAGCCCTGCCCACGCCTCAGGCGGTGGCTCGCAGTCGACGGTCCAGACGTCCATGCCGGGGCCCTGCGCGGCCTCGAAAGCGACCTCGGCGACCCCCCCTCACGGCGAGGCGAGCCTCGAGCCTCGAGGCGCACCTGCTCGAGGCGCTTCCGCGAGTCCGCCGCTCCAACCGCGCCGCGGGGTCGCGGCAGCCCCGCCAGTCGTCTGGCAGGGCACGGGCCGCACTCCCCGAGGAGGCGGGGCTGGGCGGCGCCCGGTTCCACCTCACCGCCGCCACCCGGTCGGTGGCCCCCGGCCCTTCTTTTGCCGAGTCTGCACTCGACCTCGGTCACGCGCTCGCGCACCAGAGAGCCGCTTGCACTGGCCAGCGGACTCTTTATTGCGCCGACGGGCAAAGCGGTCAGCGGTCGTCGGCCGGAGGTTGGCCATCCTCAAGGGGCCGACGTCGTCCTCTCGCCCGACCTCCTCTACGTAGGTCGTCCTCCTCCTCCTCCTTCTTTTCTTCCTCTTCTTGCGCCTCCTCGCATCTCCGCCGTCGCCGTGGAGGAGAGCTGGGTGGAGCTGAAGCTCCACCTCGCTCATCCAGCTGCAGAGATCATCCCGGACCTTGGCTTGCCTCCGCTCACGCGGTTCCGCTCTAGCTTGGCGAGGTGCGCGTCGAAAGCGTCGAGCCTGAGCTGCTGGGCACTGGCCTGCTGGAGCAGCTCGAAGAGTAGGCCCAGGGCATCGACGTCCTCTGAGTCCACGAGCAGCAGCGCCCTCACCGAAAGCGGGACCATGTCGCAGATGCTGGGAGAGCCGACGGCAGCGTTCTCCGCCGTCGGCACGCAAGCGAGTCCAGCAGCGCAGTCGCCATAGAAGTGGCCGTCCGAGAGTCGAAAACAAGCTGGTAAGCTTAGGTATGTGTTACGCTTTAAGCGTTGCCATATCCCAGGCTTTGGCTCATATCGCATGAGCAAGAGGGCAAGACGAAGCATGGGATCTGGAGTAAAGGATAGGATGGGCATCGTCAATGGAAAAGGTATTTTCCGATCTCTGATGCAAGTCGTGCGCCTCGGTGAGGCACAATCACATATTTGGCCGGGCCCGGCTTGAGCCAGGCACGGCAGCGGTACATGCTCGATTTATACCTCGCCTTTAACCTTCTCCGTTTAAAGTCGGAGGGGGAGGAGACGAGCAGGCACCGCACTTCTACATTATGCGGAAAAACAGTGCTAAGCAGCAGCGGCTGCCTACAAGGAAAGGGCGCGCGAGTAGCCTCGCTACCGGCGAGTTTCCTCGCTATTAAAGCGCACCTGCCCGCGGGTTTCCCCGCTAGCTCGGGAGGCAGGGCCGTCCTGAGACGACCTGCCCGCCCTATACGGTGTATGTTTCTTCAGCTCGTGCTTGAAGGATTGCTGGCCGGCCATTACTTGTAGGAGCAACGCGCGGTCAATACTACCTTTGGTATGACCATCGGCAGTCATATCCCGCGTGTCACACCATTGAACGCTTTCAACGATTCCGCGCTCCATCATCTGGCGGATCCAGCTAATGTGCCCAAGCAGAGTACATTCTGTGGGCTTCTTCAGATCTTTGCTAGACAAAGACTTGAAGACAGACTCGGCATCAATAGTCAGAGTGACTTTGATACATAGACCACCCATTTCCAATATGTTCTTTAACTGTGTGGGGGTCAATGGTCCCGAGTGTAGCTCGTGGAGCGTTACAATGGTCGGGTAGCAGTCTTCCAAGTTGTGGGCTGCTGCCAGTGTTTCCGCAGAGTAGCTCGAACGCACCTGCAGTCGATGAGACTTGCAGTATGCGTCCACCAGGTGCACGACGGGTTTCCCCGCTTGCGTGTGGCCACGCCTCAGCAGGTTAGCCCCGCGGATACCATAGCCTTTGACTTCGTCGTCTTCATCTCCGTTGAGACGACGATAGCCAGAATCGCTATGCAGGTCGACTTCTCCTGTTGGGGTCATAGCTTGATACACGATCTTCTTCGGACCTGCCTGTAGTTTTCTGGTAACCGCGTTTAGTCGTCGTACCTGGATGTTTGTCGGTTCCTGGATACGTTGTAGTGAGACAACATAGACCATCAGCCATACCTGCGTGATCAACGCATAGGCTAGAGCGCCACGAAGACTGACGAACATATCAGAAATCGTCTTTGTCGCTTTGCTCTCAGGATCAGCTCCTGTGAGTTCTGGATGTGTGATAGGACGAAGCTGTTTGATGTATTCGTCCTGATCAAGAGTGACGCTCCCATCATCGGTCTTGTTATACCGAACGGCACAGTTTGTGTATGTGTGCTTGTTCAGTTTGCACTTCCCAAACGTATCTTCAACACACTTGACATACTTGTCAATAGCCTCTTCCTTCCCAGTCATATTGATGTCATCAACGTGCTTGGCTGTCAAGAGGTTTGAGCTCATCTCGAACTCTTCGTCGTATGAAGTAGGCTGTAGCCCAAAGCTCCTAGTGATGGACCTGAGCTTCAGCGAGAATGCCCTGGGAGCATCCTTCGTGCCCGTCCCCGGCTTCAGACACCGAAGACAATGCTTTGATTCGTCATATGACTCAAAGCCTGGCAGCGTGCGAAGGACAGCTGCTGACCCAGGTGGTAGTGTGAAGCACACCACACGCTCTTTCTCGCCCGTTGCCGCGGCGAGCTCGCCATAGGTCAGTCCCTTCAAGAAAGCCATGTTGATGTCCAGGGAAGCGATGATCCAAGCTTTGTTGCATGCAGCAGAACTTGCGAGCAGTCTCTGGCTTGACCTCCTTGCCGTGCCAGAGAAGGTTTCGACATCAAAGGCTTCAAGGTCCATGAAGCCACGGAGTACCAAGCGTAACCTGATCGTCCTTTCCATTTCGCCCTTTTCGTTCTTGACAAACTTCCATTTGTATACGTAGCGTGACGTCATGATGTTAGACGCTTTGCTCAAGTCAGTCATCTGGAAGCATTTGTTGTCAAGCCAAGTCTTCAATTCTGTGTAAAGGGCTTTGGAAACTTTGACCGGATTTGCTTGGATGTCGGCCTTCGTGAGTAGATCGTCTTCCTTGACGACCACGGCACGTTTGGAAGCAGCACTAACGTATACTCGCATAGTTGTGACGCTGCTGTCATCCAACAATCGGTGTTGCTGCTCGGACAGGACGACTTTGGACATGTCTGCTGTGAAGCAGAGCTCGATGTACTTCCCGTGCTCATCGGAGTCCAGATCATATTTACTGTCCGGATCCGTGGAGCATAAGGGAACGTAGTAAGAAGTGTCCATGTCGTATCCTGGCGGGTGACCCCGCTCCGGCAAGTGGCCTTGCACATCTTCACAGGTCGTAGAGACTAACACACACTGTGTGTCTGTCATGTATGTGGGAACTGTATGCATGACTTCCTCTGTGTCAGCTTCAAGGAGTGTTCTGTCATCCATCAGTTCAGCATACCACGACTTCAAGACAAAAGCATCCAGATCTTCTTCTGTTTCCTCTATGATGGTCGGGAGCCGACCATCGTTATCCGTAGGAGGCTCCTCAGGAGCAGCTGCTGGAGGTGACTCGCTTGGTGGTGGACCATCAGCGAGTTCCTCAAACTTAGTGAGGTCTCGGTCAAATCCAGCAGACGACTTCCTGGATTTAAGACACTGGATGATGCGTGAGTGTGTAGATCCTGTGATGTCATAGATGTTCAAGGCAGTGCCATCAGCTTCATAGTAATGAAAACCAGGGGTCACATCATTATCATAGTGCACTAGTGTACAGCTGTCTGCATAGGGTGCAGCAGGCAACTTCGTCAGGCTCTTGGCAAGTCGTACAGCAACAACGTTTTCAATACGAAAGTAGTTGCGTATGAGGTACTGAAGAGCCAAGTGCACCTTAGGCGAAAGTCGGCTCGCAGCAGTCATCTGCAGCCGACCCTGTTTCGCTGGTAGATATCCGAAAGTCATGGCGGGTTTCCCCGCTGGCAGACCGGCAATAAAGGCCAATACTGTCCGAAGGGCCGTATTGTCCGATCCTATCTCGCGGACCATAAGTGCTTCGATGTACAGCGTGTGTCGTGTGTCAGGATACTGTACTCGCACCTCGCGACTGCCGACCTTCACGATGACCTGGCCTCGGTCAGGTTCGTTGCGGATGACCGGGTATGGACCACTCCATCCACCCCAGTCGTCTTTCGTGGTGGTCGGGCGATGATAGTCCACG